TTGGACACTGATACATCAGTTTAAAACAAAATTTGAACCTAGGTCATCTCTAAAATGCATTGAGTTCTTATGTTCTATGACAAAAGCCAAGTATACAACTGGCACTTAACTACAAAGACTCTAAGCAAATTTAGCTTCCTTTCAGTTAAGATTCTATCTTATTACAGCAAAGAAACTGTCCAAATTATGATGTGCAACGCCTATAAAATATAAGCATCACCAGTGCAATTTAGACTAACAGGGAAACATACGATATACATTTTGTTCCCCTTCGCAATGCAGCTAGTACTGATAGATAAAAGTATATTTGCTATTTTTTATTCAATTTTCCTAATGTTTATTTTTGAGAGAAAGACAGAGTGTGATCAGGGGAGGGGCAGAGAGAGAGGGAGTAACAGAATCCTAAGCAGTCTCCAGGCTCTGAGCTGTTAATGCAGAGCCTAACACAGGGCTTGAACTCACAAACAGTGAGATCATGACCAGAGCTGAAATCAGATGCTTAACCAACTGAGCCACCCACGCACCCCTTTATTCAATGCTTTTAATTGAGCCATAACTGACATACTTGTGTTAGTTTCAGGTATATAATATAATGATTTGATATCTTGTATATATTATCAAATGATCACCACAATTAGTCTAGTTAACATCCATCACCATACAGTTACAGAATTTATTTTCTTGTGATGAGAATTTATAAGATTTACTCTCTTAGCACCTTTCAAATAAGCAACTCACTGTTATTAATTATAGTCACCATTCTGTACATTCTATCCTCTTGACTTGTTTATTTTATAATTGGAAATTTGTACCTTTTGACTCCCTCTACACATTTTACCCATCCCTTACTCACCACTTCTGGCAACAACTTTTTTTGTTCTCTGTAACTGTGAACTTAGGTGTTTAAAAATTTTAGATTGCACATGTCAGTGAAATCATACATATTTGTCTTTTCCTGTTTGACTTATTTCACTTAGCACGATACTCTCAAGTTCCCTCCATGTTGTCACAATTGGCAAGATTTCATTCTTTTTTATGGCTAATATTTCATTGTACAAACTACATTATCTACTCACCCATCAACAGACACTTTACTATTATAAATAATGTTTCAATGTACACAGGGGTACATATATCTTTCCAAGTTAGTGTTTTTGATTTCTTTAGATAAATACCCAAAAAATACAATTGCTGGAGCATATGGTAGTTCTATTTTCAATTTTTTGAGGAACCCCCATACTATTTTCCACAGTGGCTATACCAATTTACATTCCTACCAACAGTGCATGAGGTTATATCTAATGTGGTTCTGATTTGTATTCCCCTGATGATAAATGATGTTAAGCATCTTTTCATGTGTCTGTTGGCCATCTGTATGTCTTCTCTGGGTCTATTCACACACTGCACATTTTTTATCATGTTGTTTGTTTTCTTGCTATTGAGTTGTATGAGTTCTTTATGTGTTTGGGATATTATCCCAACCCCTTATCAGATAAATAATTTGTAAATATTTTCTCCCATTTGGTAAGTTGCCTTTTTCTTTTGTTGATGGTTTCCATTGCTGTGCAAAAGCTTTTTATTTTGATGTACTCCCACCTGTTTATTTTTGTTTCAGTTACTTTTGCTTTTGGTGACAAATTCCAAAAATCATCACCATGAACAATGTCAAGGAGCTTAAGACTTATGTTTCTTACAGGAGTTTTATGAGTTCAGGTCTTATGTTCAAGTCTCTAATCCATTTTGAGTTAATTTTTGTATGTGGTGCAAGATAGTGGTCCAGGTTCATTCTTCTGCATGTGGCCGTCCAGCTTTCCTCAACACCATTTACTCAAGAGATTATCCTTTCCCCATTGTATATTCTTGGCTCCTTTGTCATAAATTAATTGACTGTATATGCATGGGCTTATTTCTGGGCTCCTTATTCTCTTCCATTGATCCCTGTGTCTCTTTTTATGCTAATAAATTTGCTATTTTTCACCTTGAAACACAGAAACAACTAAAATTAATTCCAAAGCTTCAAGTGTTTCTCTTTCTTTATCATTTTTACTTATTTTCACTTAGATATTTGTACCATTAAAATCCCCCAAAATGCAAAAAAAATAAGTTCCGCCAATCCTCTTATTAATAAATAAATGGATCTGAGATGCCTGGATGGCTCAGTTGGTTGAGTGTCCAGCTCTTAATTTGAGGTCAGGTCATGATCTCATGGTTTGTGAGATAGTACCCTGCATTGGGCTCCATGCTGACAGCATGGTATTCTCTCTCTCCCTCTCTCTCTCTCTTTGCCCCTTTTCCAAATGCTCTCTCTCTTTCTCTCTCATCCTGTTTCTCTCTCTCTCCCTCAAAATAAATGAATAAACTTTAAAATAAATAAATAAATGAATAAATAAATAAAGAAATAAATTCCTTGACCTCACCCCACCACACACATCAGATAATCTCTTTCACCAGGCATAGCCAGATATTTTCTATCTGCTTAACATTTCTACTTTCTCACTTCTCATAGAGCCTTTAACTCATTCCTATTTTATTTTATTTTTTGTTTATTTTTGATAGAGAGATAGAATGTGAGGGGGGGAGGGGCAGAGAGAGAGAGGGAGACAAAGAATCCAAAGCAGGCTCCAGGCTTTGAGCTGTTAGCACAGAGCCTGACACAGGGCTCAAACCCACGAACAGTGAGTTCATGACCTGAGTCAAAGTCGAATGTTTAACCAACTGAGCCACCAAAGTGCCCACAACTCATTTCTATTTTAAACTATTCTTGCCAAGATTTTCTTTAACTTCTCTGATGCTAGATCCAGTGGATCCTTTTTAATCCTTGTCTTACTTGACATCTCAGTAGCATATGACACCACTGTTTTCATGAAATACTCTCTTCCTTGTCTTTGCTGTTGCCTCAACTTTTTGAGTCTCATCCTATCTATCTGATTAGTTCTCAGTCTCTTCAGTAGACATCTCTTCCTCAATCTATTCCTCAAATGTTCATGCTTGTCAGACCCCTGTCCTAGTCTTCCTTATCTTTCTATCTACACTCTTTCCCTGGATGTTCTTCTCCACTCCTATGGCTTCAGATCCCAGATATATACTAATGACTCTCAAATGGGTCATCTCAAGTTCAGATCTCCCTGCTGATCTTCGGGGCTATTGTTTGTAACTAAATATTAGACAACTCTATCAGCTTGCCCACAAATTTCCCCTACTCAATATTTCAGCTTCATCTATATTCCTTATTCCAATGAGTCATACCATGCCAGAAACCTAGGTAAAATCCTTGACTCTTTTCTGTCCCTCATCTCCATACCCAATCAATGATTAAGTCTTGTTGATTCTGTCTGAGATATACTTTCAGTCTATGATCCAGGTCTCTCCATTCTCATTGTCATTTCCCTAGACTAAATCATTTCCCTACTATTGATACTGTTACTACTCTTATATCCGGATTTTAATAATAGACCCAGAGTGATCTTTCTAAAATATAGGTATGATCACATCACCTTCTTCCTAAAAGCCTGAAATGTTTTTACACTATCAAGATAAAGCCCAAATTCCTCAACATGCTTTACAAGCTCCAGCATCTGGTATCCTACCCTGTCATTCAAATTACTCCAGCCAAATTAAGCCCTTTTTAGTTCCTCCAACAATCCACGATCACTCTTATTTATGACCTGAGCCAATATGTGGATATTTCCACATAAGGTTCCCTCCACCTGATACATGCCTATCTGATGTTATTAGTGTTATCATGCTATCACTATTTCTTAACTAACATCTACAAATCCTTGTGTCTCAGCTTAGATGTCTCATGCTCTCTAAATCTGCATTTAGTGTATTCCCATAGCACACTACTTATCCACTCACCACACTCTATTATAGTTGCCTGTTACTTGTCTCTAACCCTCTTCTATCCCCCTTTTAGATCATAAGTACTGTGAGGGTTTTTTTTTTTTTTTAATTTTTTTTTAATGTTTTATTTATTTCTAGGAGAGAGAGAGAGAGAGACAGCGTGAGCAGGGGAGGGTCAGAGAGAGAGGGAGACACAGAATCCGAAGCAGGCTCCAGGCTCTGAGCTGGCAGTCAGCACAGAGCCTGATGCGGGGCTCGAACCCACGAATCACGAGATCATGACCTAAGCGAAAGTCGGACGCTTAACCGACTAAGCCACCCAGGCGCCCCAGTACTGTGAGGGTTAAAACTGCACCTATTATAGCTCCAATGCCATGAACATTATCTGGCACAAAGTAGTCACTAAATAAATAATGGTTGAATGATGAAGAAATGAATGAACAAATAAGCTATCAGGTTATAGCTTCCATAGTACCAATGGAAGGACATTGTACAAAATGATAACATTTTGTTTGAACCAGAACTCCAAAGCATTAATTAAAGCTGAGCACACCTTCTCTGAACTGCAAAGTCAGAGATTTATGTGAACTTGTAAATTTGAGGCTTTCTGACCTTTCGTAGGATTTATGTTTCCTTAAAATAAGCATTTCCTCTTTGTAATGCAATATTTTTTTTTAAAGTTTATTTCGGTGACTAACCTGCTGGTATAAACAGATACGCTGTTCAGTTCCTTTATTGCCTGGTCTTTACCCTTTTTACCCAGTGCTTATCAAATATTTAATTTAAGGTTTTGGTTGAAAATAAGCAGGTCCAACTATGAGGCCTACAATTTCTTGCTCTAAACTGAACTGGTTAATGAGGTGATCCAAAAAGATATCCATGCATTCAAACTCCAGACTTCATCTAAGGGCATCTAAGAGCATTTTATCTCAGCTATTCACAGATCTGCTCACAGTTTGCAAAGTATCAGATACATCACAATGGTTTATCACAAGCAGGACTTAATTTGTTAGGGAGCTACGTGGGCCCATGTGTGGAAGTCCTTTCAGGTAAGACAAAGTTGTTCATTCAAAGGAACGTAGTCTAATTTTGAGATTCACACACTAATCCTTTTGGAAAGAGAGGTTTGTGTAGGCAAACACACTCAAGGCAGTTACCTTGGATAGGTTCATTCCCAGCACTGTGAGCGTCACCAAGCCAGCACAGCACACCAAAGCACTGGAACTAGAGAGTCCAGAACTCGGTGGGATGTTTCCATCCACCAAGCAATTCATGCCAGTCAGGTTGCTAAGACCAAAGTGTTCCTAAGAATAGAAGGAAAAACAGGACTGGTGACTTTGGTGTTGGATTCAAAGTGGCAAAATGTTCTTTCATTCCCCAGAGAGCAAACATCTATCAATGGACTTATTATGCTATTGATAGAAACTGCTTGTGCAATTCAATTTAGTTGAGTCTACACATGGTCTTTTATTAAGTGATTACCATGGGAGTAATCTGAAGATTATTTTTTTTCTTTGTTCAGCAAAAAGCTATTGATCCATTTCCTAAAATTGCCTTGAATGATCTTTTACTTGAGCTTTAATTGATTTGAACAGATATAGAAAAAATATTAAACAATTATAATTTATTTTCAGAAGCTCCTCTGAAGGAAAAAAGTGTTCTAAATTTCTTCAGTTCCATTTTACTGATGGAAAACCTTAGCACCAAAAGATTAAAAGATTTTTTTCCAACGCATAGGGAGCTGGGAATAGAACCCAGGTCTCTGATTCCCAGTTGAGAACTTCTCCAGTGCAGTCAAAAACATGGGCCAGCATACTGTCACTGTGATTTAATGTAAGTCAGCTATATGAGGAAATCCAGATTTTTACTAGAGTTTATAGAAACAGTTTAGCCATATGGTAGCTTTCAAGACAGCCAAATCAGAATTCAGCCACAGATGAGAACACAGACTCTAAATGAAGACGGGAAACTATTTCTGCAACTAGGAAAGCCCAAAGAAATAATGAGACTCTGATCTGAAGATGGACATCTCCAGGATACTTAGATGAATATCTAGGATGACACTTAAGATGATATTATAACATAACCTTTGTGGTTTAGGATTAAAAATAAATTCAAGGCCACCTCCACCTCAAGAATAAGTACCATTGTGCTTGCAAATTACTCAAACAACTCAAGACCAAAGTACAAAATATTATTATATTACATAATTACGCATTTCATCATACATATTATTCTAGGAAGAAATTTCAATCAAGTAGTTAGAATAACCAAAGTAACAACAAAACTCTGCAAATTAAAGACTGTTTTTTTCCTTAATACTTTTTGTCCTTTTTTCCTATGTTGGCAAAACTCACACACCACAAAAAAAGAGATTCTGTTGGATGTACTTCTCCTCTTGATTTCAAGTCATCTAAAAATTTCCTTTCCAGAAATACAAACAAATTATAAACTGAAACATTGCTGCTGCCAATGCCCTTTCATACAAAACATCAGGCAGCTTGTTTAAAAAAAAAGGAAACTTGGAGAATGCTATATATTTAACCATAAACTGATCCACAGTGTATCTTGAATGTGAATCATACTTACAAACTTATCACGCAATGTTTTAAATTAAAATGTACAACAGATTCAAAAACATAGATGGATTATGCCAAATTCTGTAATAGCTCTATCCCCAAAGGGTAACACATTCAATTTAATATAAACAGATTATCCTCTAAAATTTTCTAGTATTTGAATTTGAAAGTTTCTAAACAAGCTAACATTTAAATTACTTTTCTGCCAAGAATTCTCAGTACAAACCTACTTTTGCACATAAGTGTCAAACCAGAAAAGAAAGCTTTAAGACCTCAAATTCTCAAAAACAACACAAAGCAACATGCAGTATATTTAGGTTACTTTATCCATATGCTATAAAAAGCATGTTGCTATAGGAAGAACAAATTGCATTTGCCAGGGAAATGCTTCCAAATACTGTAATTCCCACTAGTGAATATGATAAGTGAAATAACTTGAAGATTTAAAAGCTGCCAATACCTTCTCCCATAAGTTAGTACCATGTGTCTGAAGGAAAGGAAGGAAGGAAGGAAGGAAGGAAGGAAGGAAGGAAGGAAGGAAGGAAGGAAGGAAGGAAGAAAAGAGAGAAAGAGAGAAAGAGGAAGAGAGGGAGGGAGGGAAGGAAGGGAGGGAGGGAGGGAAGGAAGGGAGGGAAGGAAGAAAGGAAAGGAAGGATGGAAGGAAGGAGAAGAGAAATGAATGCAGGAATTCTAAGACTAGAACCACCATAATTAGAGTATAGAACTACACATCAGAAACAAATGTGATGCTTTTCTGTAATGGCTATACCACTGAGTCCTAGGCTACTCATGACAAAATTTCAGAAAGGACCGCCAGGCGGTAAGGAACACAAGCTGTCTAAAACATGAATTTTTAACAAACAAAATTGACTTAGCAAATCAATTTTCTTTTTGTCATTCATACCTTTTTAATTTGGAGAAAAAGTAGAAATATTTCATTTTCTTGTTCTTGTACATGACATCAGAGATAGTCATGGTAATTATTCAGTGTTTCTAAGGAAACTACTTACACTAATAAAGTTCACTACATCTTTTTTTAACTCCATCTGAAGTAGTAATAGCAACACTAGTTACCATTTATTGAATGACTACTATATGTCAAGCACTGTGTAATCCTTGTAACAACTCTTTGCTAAATAGCAATGACATCATTATACAGATAACAAATCTGAGACTTAAAAAGGTTGAATTCACACAGTTGAGTAGAGCTCAGATTCAAACCTAGGGCTGTCTGACTTTAAATCCTATTACAGTATATACATACATATTATTAGAACAAAATGGGGCACCTGGGTGGCTCAGTCATTTAAGTGTCCGACTTCAGCGCAGGTCATGATCTCACAGTTTGTGGGTTTGAGCCCCACAGTGGGCTCTGTGCTGAGGGCTAGCTCAGAGCCTAGAGCCTGTTTCAGATTCTGTGTCTCCCTCTCTCTCTGACCCTCCCCTGCTCACACTGTCTCTCTCTCTCAGAAATAAATAAAACGTTAAGAAAATTTAAAATAAATAAAATTAAATTTTAAAAAAGAACAAAATGCATTATAGATTGTATCCTTCAAAAGAAAATTTATACAAAGATTTAAAAAAGGGAAAGATTTGTGTTGGATGCAACTGATTTATGTACAGTCATCACTGCCCCCTGTGGACACCACCCATCAGACGTATCTACCCATCCTCTGAAATACATAAGTTAGCAAAATAGAACAGAAACATCAGTTAGCATTAAAAGAAGGCAAAAAAACACATAGTAAGTAAAATAAATCTTGATAGATAATATATGTTATAAGCTCAACTGCTAGCAGTTGCCTTATAAACCAATTTACCTGAATTCCTTTAAATCCACATAGGAAATAGTTGTGCCACAGAGGCTTGGTTTTGTCAATCTGAATATTATTAGCACTAGTACTGAAGTCCCTGCGAAAACAAAGACACCATTGTTTTAACACTAGAGGCTGCAAAAATCCATGGCTGCAAAATCAATGGCTGACTGCTGCCATCTTGTGCCAAGAGGGTGATACTGAAATTTCATTTTCTATTTGTTTTCACATAGGTGCTTCATAGTCTACCCAAAAGCAACAAACATCTCCACATGCTAAAAGGTAAGAGAGGTTGTGATCTTAACAATTAAACTAGTTCCAATTGATCCTTTTTATTTCCTGAAACAGAGAGGAACCAATATAATTTCAGCATAATCTACACCACGTTATTTTATGATGGTTCTTGTTAAGCTGATATAAACCACATAACTTTTATCCTTTGAGCTTGCTATTTGGCATACCTCTGTCACAGCACCCAAAGCCTTCTTTCCCCACACTCTCGGCCACCCATCCAATTTTACCCTCTTCACAAGTTAAGAAGAAGAAGAAAACAAAACAAAACAAATAATGACAATTCTAGTGAATCATAACTTGTTCAATAAGATTTCATGAATCTGTACTGATATAAATTAACGAATGAATAAACAGCTAAATGAAGGAGAAAGAAAACCTCTTTCTTAGAGTAAAATGCCATAGATGAAGTAGAAACTGAAAATCACTATTTGGCAAACTGCATGATAGTTTTTTTCAGGAAAGAATCGTCAATGGATGCTAAAGTTAGGGAGTAAAAATTTGGCGAGAAATAAAATATTTGGATAGATTCAAGAGTATTTCCCCAACAGATACTTATTGCAAGGGGAAAACATAGTAATTTTATGGCAAATAAATAAACATTAAAATTTTTTTCTTAAATAAAAAAATCATTAAAAAATTAATAACACCAATTAAAAGACATCATGTACCTCCTTGATATCATGCACTGAGAACATACCACTTGATAGGGGGTCAATTAAAAAGTGAGGAAATAAGCAACATTCCCCATATTGACTGAATGCTTTTCATATAATTTGCTAAATACATACTATTTGCCAGTTAAAGTAGTAGGGGCCTTCCGTGCATTATCTTAATTTGATAACATGAACACATCATCACCTAAGAAAAATATTCAAATACACAAGGCATTCATAGGAATATAAAGGTAGAAAGTAAAGGGATTATCCTTTAAGCATTTGTAATCTAGGTGAGACAACATGAACACAAATCATGATCACACACTACTGTCACGTGACGGTATGTAATGTGGAATGGGATATGACACCAAGAGGGCATCGTCTCTATGATCAGCATATTAGGATGAAGAAGGGAGACCTTCCTCAGGCTCAGACAGGCTTAGTGCCTCTCCAAGGACACACACAGTATGACTCCAGCTCACAAGCACTTTACTGTCACCCACAGAAGTTAAAATATATTGCTCACAGTCAATAAGATGTCACACAATTTGGAAAGCAGGAAAAGTATGTTAGCAAAACTGATCAGGGTCTGTTTCTAGCTAAGCAGAGATCTTGAAAGTCACCACAAAGAAAAAGAAAACCAAGAAGAAGTTGGGAGTCAGGGGTGGGCATATATTGAAAAAAAAGTAGAGGAGGGAATATGTACAGATGTAGAAAGCTACATGAGAAATATCAAGAAAAAAGTAGTAATCAAAATAGTATAGTACTGCCACAAAAAGAGACACATAGATCAATGGAACAGAGTAGAAAGCCCCGAATTAAACCCATGCATCAATTAATCTATGACATAGGAGGAAGGAATATACAATGGGGAAAAGACAGTCTCGTCAATGAATGGTGCTGGGAAAACTGGACAGTTATATGAAAAAGAATGAAACTGGACCACTTCTAGCACCATGCAGAAAAATAAACTCAAAATGGATTAAAAACCTAAATGTGAGACATTAAATCATAAAATCCAGAAGAGAACATAGGCAATAATTTCTCTGACATCAGCAGTAGCAACATTTTTCTAGATATGTCTCCTAAAGCAAAGGAAACAAAAGTATATTTAGAGAGAGACTACATCAAAATAAAAATCTTGTGCACAGCAAAGGAAATCATCAACAAAACAAAAGGGCAACCTATTGAATAGAAGATATTTGCAAATGATATAACTAATAAAGAGTTAATATCCAAAACATGTAAAGAAACTATAAAAAACCCCTAAGAAACCCCAAACAATCCAATTTAAAAATGGGGAGAGGATCTGAATAGACACACAAATAGCCAACGGATACATGAAAAGATGCTCAACATTGCTAATCATCAGGGAAATGCAAATCAAAACCACAAAGAAATATAACCTCACACCTGTCAGAAAGGCTAGAGTCAAAGGGACAGGATGTGGAGAACACAAGACCTTCATGCATTGTTAGTGGAAATGTAAACTGGTATAGCCACTGGGGAAAACAGCATGGAGGTTCCTCAAAAAATTAAAAATAGGAATACCATATGAGCCAGTAATTCCACTACTAGGTATGTACCCAAAGAAAATGAAAACACCAATTCAAAAAGACGTATGCACCTCTGTGTTTATTGAAGCACTATTTATAATAGTCAAGATATGGAAGCAACGTAAGTGTCCAAAAATAGATCGACAGGGAAGGAAAATGTAGTATATATATGCAGTGGAATATTACTTAGCCATTAAAAAGGATGAGATCTTCCCATTTGTGACAACATGAATGGACATAAAAGGTATTATATAAGTGAAACAAGTCAGACTGAGAAAGAAATACCATATGATTTCAATCATATGTGAGATCTAAAAAAACAAAACAAATGAATAAACAAACAAAAATCAAAATCAGGGGCACTTGGGTGGCTCAGTCAGTTAAACATTTAACTTTGGCTCAGGTCATGATCTCATGGTTCATGAGTTTCAGCCCCGCATTGGGCTCTGTGATGACAGCTCAGAGCCTGGAACCTGCTTCAGATTCTGTCTCCCTCTCTCTCTGCCCCTCCCCCACTTATCCTCTGTCTCTCTCTCTCTCTCTCTCTCTCTCTCTCTCTCTCAAAAATAAATAAACATTAAAAAAAATTTTTTTTTTTACAAATAGTTTATTGTCAAATTAGTTTCCACATAACACTCAGTGCTCATCCCCAAAGTGCCCTCCTCCATGCCCATCCCTCCTCCCCCCCACATCCATCAGTTCTCAGTTTTTGTCAGCATTCAAGAGTCTCTCATGGTTTGCCTCTCTCCCTTTCCCCCACCATTTCCGCCCTTCTTCTCCCCCTTGTTCCTCCGTCAAGTCCCTCCTAATCCTCCTATACGTGCAAACATATGATATTTGTCCTTCTCTGCCTGACTTATTTCACTCAGCATAACACCCTCAAGGTCCATCCATGTTGCTACACATGGCCAGATTTCATTCTTTCTCATTGCCATGTAGTATTCCATGGTATAGATAAACCACATCTTCTTGATCCATTCATCTGTTGATGGACACTTAGGCTCTTTCCATGTTTTAGCTATTGTGGAGAGTGCTGCTATGAACATTGGGGTACATGTGCTCCTATGCCTCAGCATTTCTGTATCCCTTGGGTAAATTCCTAGCAGTGCTATTGCTGGGTCATAAGGGAGTTCTATTGTTAGTTTCCTGAGGAACCTCCACACTGTTTTCCAGAGGGGCTGTACCAGTTTACATTCCCACCAACAGTGTAGGAGGGTGCCCGTTTCTCCACATCCTCGCCAGCATCTAGAGTTCTCTGATTTGCTCATTTTAGCCACTCTGACTGGCGTGAGGTGGTATCTCAGTGTGGTTTTGATTTGTATTTCCCTGATGAGGAGGGATGCTGAGCATCGTTTCATGTGTCTGTTGGCCATCTGGATGTCCTCTTTGGAGAAGTGTCTGTTCATGTCTTCTGCCCATTTCTTCACTGGGTTGTTTGTTTTTCGGGCATGTAGTTTGGTGAGTTCCTTATAGATTCTGGATATTAACCCTTTATCTGATATGTCATTTGCAACTATCTTTTCCCATTCCGTTGGTTGCCTATTAATTTTCTGGGTTGTTTCCTTGGCTGTGCAGAAGCTTAAAAAAAAATTTTAAAGCAGAATCAGAGAACAAACTGATAGTTGCCAGAAGGAAGAGAGTAGGGGGATGGGCAAAATGGATGAAGGGGAGTGGGAGATACAGGCTTCCAGTTATGGAATGAGTAAGTCACAGGAATAAAAGGCACATCATAGGGAATATAGTCAATGATAGTGCAATAGTGTTGTATGGTGACAGATGGTGGCTACACTTGTGAGCACAACATAAGGCATAGAGAAGTTGAGTTACTATGCTATACTTCTGAAACTAATGTAAAATTGTACATCAACCATGCTCAAAATAATTAAAAATTTTTTAAAAGCTTTGGTTTTCAGATAGTGTGATGTTGGCATAAAGATAGACAACTATATCAATAAAACAGAATAGAGTCCAGAAATAGATCCATACATTTATTGCCCACTGCTTTTCAACAAAGGCTGTCAAGATAATTCAGTGGGAAAAGATCATCTTTTCAACAAATGGTGGGAAACAATGGGATAGACATATGCAAAAAAGTAAACTTCAACCCTTATCTCATGATACATACAAAAACTAATTCAAACTAGATCATAAGCCTAAATGCAAGCGCTGAAATTATAAAATTTCTAGAAGAAAACACTGGGAAAACTTTTAGTGCCTTGGGTTTCTCAAAAGTTTCTTAAAAAGTTAAGAACTACAAACTGTGAAAGAAAAAAATCAATAAATTGGACTCCATCAAAATTAAAAATTCTTCTTCAAAAGACATTGTAAAGAAAATTAAAATCCAAGACACAGACTGGACAAAAATATTTGCAAAACATTAATCTGACAAAGGACTGGTATCTACAATATAAAAGAAAATCTCACAGGTATAGAAGATGAAAATCCTGCTTAAAAATGGGCACAAGATTTGAACAGATCCTTCAACAAAGAAGATATCTAGGTGACAAACATGAAAATATGTTCATCATTGGTAAGAGAAAATAACATTAAAAGCCACAGTGTGACACTACTACACATTTATGAGAGTGGGCAAAATTTAAAAAGACATGTTAGCAAAAATGTAGAGCAAACTGAACTCTCATACACTGGTGGCAGGAACGAAAAATGGTACAACCAATCTGGAAAATAGGCTAGCTCTTCAAAAGGTAAGCCAGACAGTCCTAGATATTTACCTCCCCCGCAAAACGAAATACATGTCCACACATAAATGTGTACACAAATATCCACAACAGCATCATTCATAAGAGCCAAAAGCTAGAATTGATCTAAATGCCTATCAATGGTGAATAGATAAATTATGGTATCTCCATGCAATGAATGTTACACAGCATGTGGACAATTCTGGGAGACATGCTGCTTCCTTCCTAGGAGTCCTGGGAGAATGGAGCCTCTCACCTACAGCAGGGGCTGCCTGCCTTAGTAATCATCTCTGCTTTCCTAAGTCATTCTCTGTGTTGTCCCATACCACCCCTGGGATCATATCCCAAATACTTCACCTTCATTCAAGTTTGTCCTCAGGCTCTGCTTCTGTCAAAAAATGCAACTGAAACCATATATTCATTGTGGTAAAAACAGTTAAGTGAATTTGAATAAATCAATATGACAAATTATTATGTACCCAGTTTTAAATGTTTACAAATTATGACACAAAATTGTGTTTGAAACAATGTAAAGCTTTCTTTAAAAGATTCAACATAAAAGTCAGAGATTTCTATATCTTGCATATCCTGGTATTGTACCTTATTAAAGGTACACATAAAATATTTACTGCAGTCAAACTGGCCAATGAACAATAAGCCAAAAATAAAATCTGCCAACCATATGCCCAAATCTTTTTTGTAATTAGCAAATCAAATCCATCATACCACACTATAAGCAGATAGGACTCATTCTAGGAATGCAAAGACAGTTCAACATTAGAAAATGTATCATTGTAATTATAGTATTTCTTAACTGCTCTTCAATAGTGAATAGACATTTGATAAAATTCAATAACAAATTTCTTTTTAATCTTGGCAAACTAAGAATTAAAAAACAGCAGCAAACAAAATTATGTCCTTAACTTGATAAAGCATATGTACTAGAAACTTAAATCTATTATGCACCAGACTCTAAATTTGACACTGAGCCTACAGCATTAGAGAGCCAATAGTACCTGAAGTCACAGAGTTTACAATCTACTAGGGGAATACAGGCAAATAAGCAGGTAATTGTAATTCAGCGTGGTAAGATGTTACCATAAGAGAATTAGAGGGTGTCCTAGTAACATAAGAAAGGCAGCACCACCAACTTTGCTCAAGACAGCTGCCTAAATAGATGATAAATACCTTCTGGGCAAGGACAGAGTTACTTCTGTATGGCCCAGGATCTAAAACAATGTCAAGACACATGGTAAGTCTTCAGTAAATGTATTTTAAATGAATGAGCAAATGAATAAAAAGGAACAAATATTAAAAAGCAGCCTTAGGTTCTTTTGGAAGTCACATGCAGATTTTCAATAAATTAAATGATTTATTACAAGTTTGATTTCTTCTAAAGAGTTAATTTGTCTATGAATGCACATGCATCATTGTTCACAGAAGTAACCCTAAATACTCACGGGTACAAGGGATTTGTATTGGCTAGTTGAAGAGTTTGTGTTTTCACAGGTTCCACAGCTATTAACATATCTTGTTCTACAGCCATAGGAAGAACAGAATACCCACAATAATCTATATGTTCTCCTAGAAAAAAGAAAAAGAGAGTTTTTAACTTTGCTAGCATATGAAACAAGAGAAACTCAAGTATGTTGACATACAGGAAAAACTTGACCACAAGCCAGGTTTTAACAGAAATTAAAAATACTATGGACAGCAAATGAATCCATTTTCTTTCTCTCCCAGACACCTGAGCCAGAAATATCTGCTAGCATAAGGATATTAGTTACTGGTTTCTATTAATTTTTAGACTTCTTTCAATCTTCACAAGTTTTTTCTTCTACTTTCTAATTCATAGTGATTGTCTTCAAATATTTCATTTTGTGACTAGTTATATGGAGTCTCAAGAACAGTAATCTCTCCTTTTTCTGTTGCTCTTTCGTATTACCTTCTTAAATATGAACAGCTGAAGACTTTAACACTCCCTGCCTTATAATAAACATTATGTGTCTCTCTCTTTCTTATTAGCCAACATACTTACTGAAGTTGATGACTTTGATTTATTCATATTTGTAGCCTAAATAAATGCCTAACAAATTAGACTTGCATTGATAAGTTGTTCTGAATGTGCTAGACATAGCTAGGATAAAGAAAAAGAAGCTAGAAAGAGATTTTTTAATCTGCACTATTTTATATATAACAAGCAAATACAGGAAACAAACTATTCTCCTCAATGCATTCTAATTCCTCTGTGAACCATCTGTAGGGATTTTATTTCCTATTAGACCATAATATTTTCTCCAAATTGCTATTTAAACTCAAGGTTGCTATTCATAAGACTGAAGTAAAAAATAACAATTCAGGAAAGAAATAAGCAAAATAAACAAGCTTATTTCCATTTCCCCAGGACAAGCTTTCATATCTGATTGTTCCTGCGGCAAACACTAACCAACTAAGAAACACAAAATGAATGGAAGACAAGTCAACTGCACAGTTGCATTTTTAAATAATTATTCTATATATTATTACAAGTTAGGAAGTCTTGGCTGATGTGGCCTTTAAAAAGCAATTATAGGGGCGCCTGGGTGGCTTAGTCGGTTAAGCGTCAGACTTTCGCTTGGGTCATGATCTCGCGGTTCGTGGGTTCGAGCCCCGCGTCGGGCTCTGTGCTGACTGCCAGCTCAGAGCCTGGAGCCTGTTTCAGTCTGTGACTCCCTCTCTCTCTCTGACTCTCCCCTGCTCACGCTGTCTCTCTCTCTCTCCTAGAAATAAATAAAACATTAAAAAAAAAAATTAAAAAAAAAAAAGCAATTATAAAGGTTGCAGGGTTTTTTTTATGGATTGACAGTTTCACATGGAGAAGTGTTTTTCAAAGCTGCCCTTCTCACCAACTCCCTTCAAAGAAGACGATAATATAAAACAGTGGTTCACAAGTAGAAAACACATACTTAAATAGGCAGAACATGAGGGAGGCACAGGTTTTTTGGAAAGGCCACAGTGTAGATGACAGCCTTCTGGAGATGACAGATTCCTGCCCCTCACCCCCGTCAAAACTGATGGAATATCCCCACTCCCTACCCCACCCCACCCCACACCCCCGTGAGAGGCAGGGAGGGAGCAGGAGCTGCTGGCATGTGAACAGAACAAGATGATTACATTATGAGTATTTTAACAGTAAATATAATAATGCTTTTAGTAACTACTGAAATTCATTTTATCCCAAGCACTACGTAAATTAACCATATTGGAACATAATCCTCTCCCTTTTTTTAAATCAGAAAATAGTCACTAAATTTACTAAAATAAGAATTATTCCTCAGGGAAATTCTTAGTTTGGTACCCACACCCCCCACAGCTAGGTAAAATGGCTCTCTTCTGAGAAAACTGCTTTTTGCAGGCCTCCTGCAACACTCAAATGTTGCTGATGTCCTCCTCCGCTCTGCTATTTCCAGGCCTTTCTCCATCCTTCAGTTCTTGAAAGGCTCATACCACATTCTCTCCTTTTCTTTCATCTCCAACTGTCTTGACACACTGCTCCTCCCTGAATACCTTAGCTATCTCGTTCCAGCCCCTCACCATCCCAGTCCTGCAATAATCGGGAAAACATGCAGGTCAACAGCCTAGACCAAGGCCCCAGCTGCCTAATCCCTTGACCTCCAGAGAACTCGACCTCCTCTTTGCTTCGGCCACCTAGCACCTTGACAAAGGAAAGACTATAGACCCTATCTATCACCTGGAACGTTTTCACTTATGAAATTTTAGTTTCAAATAGCATATTCTTTACTAACACTTCCCATCCTGCCATTTCCCTTACTGCTCCTCTCGCTAACCTCTTTGTCAGACTGTCCTTTGCCCTCTCTACCTTATAAGCTCTCTCCTGACTTTCTTCCTTTTTCCACCCACCATAGATTCCAGGATTCATAACTTCACCTGCTCTCCTAACAATTTCACCAACTTTCTGATGCCACTGTCATTCTCCTGCAACCTCAATCCAAAACAAAATCCCAACCCTAGATCAAACATCAGCACCTTGGACTAGCTCCGAGGGAGAAGAACGAACAACTCTGTAGGTAGGTACTGTTCCAATTCTAGTCTCCAGCCATAGCCAGATTCCACGGCTACCCAGCGAACATTTTGTTCCTGAAGCCATCTCCCTCTTCCACCCTTCACAAGATTATTCCAAATGTCCCTCCTTCTTAAACCCTAGCCCTTTCATCTAACTCCCACAAGAACCCCCTCAACCTCCCTACCTAAGTTATACATTTATCTACATCAAACTGCATCCTTTTCCCCCCTTGTCTTCTGTTAAAAGAATCAAAGTAGCCCTCTTCTGATGCCCTGGATACCAGCCCCTCTTGACTTCTCAGGAAATCTGCTCTATCAATTCCTCCCTTCTCAGTTATCTATAATCTCTCTCTCTCCCCACTGGCTTTATTCCATTCCCCCACCCTCCCTCATTTAACTATACTCAAACATCCCCCCCTTTTTTTTATCCTCCATTATTTGCTTCAAAATAAAATAAGATCACCTGAGTTGATAATAATTGTTGGGGCACCTGGGTGGCAAAGTCGTTTAAGCATCTGACTTCAGCTCAGGCCATGATCGCATAGTTCATCAGTTCAAGGCCTCCACTGGCTCTGCACTGACAGCTCAGAGTCTGGAGGCTGCTTTGGATTCTCTCTCTCTCTCTCTCTCTCTCTCTCTCTCTCTGTCCCTGCCTCATTTGTGCTTGCTCTCTCTCTCTCTCTCTCTCTTTCTAAAGTAAATAAGTAAATATTTTTAAAATATAATAATAATTGTTGGGCACATGGGAGCTTTTTGTATGTTTATATTTTCCATTATAGAAAGTTCTCTTTTTAACCCTCCTTTGACTCCTGGTTTTTTCTCAGCTCCCCATCCTGTTTTCTTATGATAGAACCTACTCATTCTTCAGGTCACCACCCTTTTAAAAGGACTTCCCAATATTCTTCTAATCCAATGAGTAAATGTAAAACCATGAAAATTATTAACCAAAATCTAAAAATTTATCCTGCATCACAGAAAAATCTTTTCCTCTCTTATGAAAATAATATTAACAACTAAGTTTCAACATATTATTAAAAATGGACAAAGTTAACATTAATAACATGGATTGGGAAAGATGCAATTTCTGGATACAAAAGCTTAACTTGTACTAAGATATATGTAAAATATTCTATGTTATGTTTTCAGTTTTCTTAGGGAAATTTAAGAAAAAATTGTATTAACAAAAATTTAGATCTTACCAAAGGAGGAAAAAATTAAGAGAAAGAAATTTTGAAATACCTATTATGTTGACTCTTCCTGGTGCTCGAACATAAAACTTAGGAATGGATCCAAACTTAGAGTTAAACATCTCCTTTAGCTTCAACAATCTGAATGAAAAAGAGTAGAATATTTCAGATTATCTATGTAATAGAAAAATCCATCACACACACACACACACACACACACACACACACACACACAAATTAATTATCCCTAAAAAAAAAAAAGCAAATTTTTAACTGACATGCTTCTTTGAAAATCCTAGAATAAGACAATATAATGACTTCTCAGTGACACAGAGTATAGCTAAGTACACAGAAGAGTAAAAAAACAGATGTACTCAGCAGGAAAAATGATTTCCTTCAGTTATAAAGAATATAACTCTCTGTATAATTCTCAATAATATTCAGAGAAAAATCTCTTTATCTTAAAAAGAAGTAGTGTGGGGTAGTATTTCAATTTCCTAGGGCTACCATAATAAAATACTACTGAGTGGCTGAGTGGCTTAAAATAATAGAAGTTGATTGTCTCACTGTTCTGGAAGCTAGAAGTCCAAAATCAGAGTGTTAGAAGGGCCGTGCACCTCTGGAAAAAAACCCTGTATGGGAGAAGCCCTCCTTCCCTCTTTTTAGTTTCTGGTGGTAGCCATTGATCCTTGGCATTCGCTGGATTACAGCTGCATCGCTCCAAACTTTGCCTCTGTCACCACAAAGAATTCTCCCTAAGTGTCTCTACCTGTGTATATTTCAGCTTTTTGTTTTTATAAGGACACCAGTCTTATTACATTAGAGCCCACCTTAATTCACTATGACCTCATTTTAACCTAATTAGAGAAATACATAAAGAGATTAGTCCAAATAAGGTCATATTTGGAGGTTCCAGGTGGACATGAATGGGGGAGGGAGCACTATTCAACCCAGCACAATACAAGTAGGCAAATGAAAACTAGGCTGGATATCAGGAGACCACAGTTCTAATTTCAATGGGGCAAATCCTTTTCCCATGGCTTCTCTGAAATTAGAGAAATTGAGCTAGATATCCTTATAGGCCTCTTGTAGATCCAAAATTCTTAAAATAGACTTAATTTTATATTGTTAAATCATCTCAAGGCACTTCTATGAATGTCTTTCCACTGTTTATAGTCCCACATCATAGTGTATCTGAACAATAACCACTAAAATAAATATCTGCTGAAGCCTACCATATTCAAGACACCCATTAATTAACTGATCTTAATGGTTAATTAGTTGTAAGAAACAGAAAATCACACCAAGGACAGCTCAAGGAAAAAGAAAATTTATTATAATGAAGGAAAGATATGGAAGGTATTCGAGATAGCCTCCTAGGAATTGGACAGCCAGCAGAAACTGTTTTTTTTTAGTATCTTTGGTTCTCTTTCTATGTTCATTGGTTCATTTGGTTCTCACCATCACTATTCTGCTCAATGCCGCCCACATTTCAGTTGCCTCTGTGAGCCTCCTGGTTTCTGTTCCTCCATACCTTCAGTTTTCATGACACCGTGGCCTCGACTGTACAAGATTTAACAGCTCCGATGTCCTAAACTATTTGATTAAGTCTCTGTGTCCACTAATTCAAATCCTTACAAAAGATAATCTGGTTGGCAGAGTTTAGGTCCTGTATCCATCCTGGTCCAATTATTTTTTGCCAAGAGAGTGAGGTTATTTGACACAAACAAGGTCAGTTGTCTTAGTTACAAATATGATTACTTGGATCCACTCCCTCAGCAGAGGCTGCGGATAACAATAGAAGATGTAGGCAGGGAAACAATAGCAATTACAGGGATATCAATAGCACATCATTCAAGGCACATTTACTGGATTCCTAGGTATGTATGGGTAATGGTGCCTGCCTAAATATGAGTTGCCTCATATATACTCCAAAAACATTTAGCACAAGAACAAACAAATGATATAAACCTATATCTTTATTATAACTAGAAGACAGAGAATGCACAAACTTTAAGTTACCTACAAGTAAGTAAGAAGAAAAAGAAAGAGAACCACTCTGACCCACTAGATAAAGAAACTCAGTGAAAAAGAAAAGAGGAGAGCCAACAAAACTTAGATTAATCTAAAACCACAAGAAAGAAAAAATTTCACCCATTTAAAAATGGGAGGTATGGGGGAAGAAAAAATAAAACTAAAATTAACTCATTGATTGCTATATAGAGAACAGGTAAAAGTTAAAAGATGTCAGTAAGCATGATAAAGCAACATTCTTTAATGTTATAATACAGGTATATGCAAGATTTTATTATTAAACCGCTAAAAAAATTCTTAGGGCCGCCTCTGTGGTTCAGTTCATTAAATATTTGACCCTTGATCTCAGCTCAGGTCATGATCTCATGGTTTGTGAGTCTGAGCCCCACATCAGCTCCGTGCTGATGGCACAGAGCCTGCTTGGAATTCTCTCTCTCTCTCTCTCTGCCCCACTCTCCCTGTCTCTCTCACTCTCTCTCAAAATATATAAACAAACCAAAAAAAATTCTTAGAGAGACCATGGCCTGTGTAGTCAGGTAGACCTAGGTTCAAAACCCTTCTGTACCCTATGATGAAATTCCTTAAGCTCATTTCCTTTACATAGAGTATAAATATGTATCCTACAGAATTATTTAGGAGATTAAATAAGGGAGTGCAGAAAGGGTCTAGCTTAGGGCTGGCATGAAGTACTTGTTTAAGAAATGCTAGGTTCTTGGGTTCCTTACTGTTTCTATTCTGCAGCATGTGAATAAAAACCCATTAAAAGCCATGAGAGATGATAGGTAATTAAATATTTACCCTATTTAGCTTATATCAGGACTGGAAGCACCTTTGGAGCACTGGGGTGATCTTAATGCTGCTGCTGCTACACCCTGGTGCTCTCTGCCCTGCATCTTCCATTTTATAGAGAGGGTTGAAACACCTTAGGTTATTTGTCCATCAAATTCTAGGGAGAATTATTTAGAACGTTCATGTTTTTCGAGGTGCCTGGGTGGGTCAGCCGGTTAAGCATCTGAATTTGGCTCAGGTCATAATCTTGTGGTTTGCAGATTTGAGCCCCATGTTGGGTTCTGTGCTGACAGCTCAGAGCCTGGAGTCTGTTTCAGATTCTGTGCTCCTTCTCTCTCTGCCCCTCCCCTGCTCACACTCCGTCTCTCTCAAAAATAGATAAAAATTACCAGAAAAAAATTTTTTTAAATGTTCATGTTTTTCAGTGAAAGAAAATGGATATAGAAGATAGTAAAAGCCTAAATTAGAAAAGTCCTCTGCTTTCTCAGAGCATTAAAAAAGATATGTAAGTATAAAGATAGTCAATAGAACAAGAATATAAGTCTTCTTAAATACCAAAGAAATTTCAAAAAATATAGGTGCAAAGAAAGCAGACAGATAAATATAAACTGGTAAATAAAGAACCCAAAAACTATTCAGAAACTATATTATAATGCATAATTATAAAATAAAATGAGTTAAAATCAAACATGACAATTACATCAAAAAATGTGAATGGGAGACGGGGGCAAGATGGCGGAGAAGTAGGGACCTACTTACTTGCACTCGCGCCCATGCCTCACACGGAAAAGATGTGAAGCCATAGGAAACCTTATGAAACCCAAGAGATTGGGAGAAAAAGGACGCAGAATCCACTGAGAAAGCCTTCTAACGTGAGTGCGAACTGAGGAAGATAAAATCGGGCCGGGATCAGAGACTCCAGGGACAGGGCGATCCCCCTGTGCGGGGAGTGAGGGGGGAAGAGAAAGAGTCCGAAACAGAAAAACCTCCGCTCAGGGGTGGGGGAACCTCGGCTCGGTGCATGGAAAGACCTTGCGCACAAAATACCTGCGCGCCAGGTCCCCAAGCTCCAACTCGCCCCGGAGGGGCTGCGCTCGCGGACTGCTGCTCTGTGCGGGCTCCTGGCTGGCTGGGAGAAGCTGCGCGCCGGCCGCCATTGCCCTCCTGGCGGGCTTGGACCCCTGCAGGAGCCGAGCGCAGGCACTGGCGTCCGCACACCTGGCTGGCTGGAGCTCTAGAGGGAAGGCAAAGAGCTAAACACTGGAGATTTGCCCGCGAGTGCGTGTTTTGCGTGACGAGACACAGAGGGAAGGGGATTTCCTCACTCCAGCGGGCTCAGCGCGCCCGGCAGGCAAGGCCCCCGCCCCGCCCAGGCCCCCCAGCCCGACCCGGAGGAGAAGGGAGCAGCGGCTTCTGGCTCCACCCCCAGGGCTAGGCAGGAGGCTTGGAACTGCCCTGAGGGGGTTGCCAGGGGATCGCCTGCGGC